CTCTAGATAGGCAGAAGGAAAATTCACCCCGAGCCAGAATCGGGTATACCGCCAGGGAGGTTAAAGCTGAGCTCCAGGCAGATATAGATATGTATATAACACCAATTAATGCAAGTGTGGGTATATTATTAAATCATTCAATACATTTTAAAATAAAAACAACTAGTATAAATACCTGAATTTGACATGAAATAGGATCTTTAAGAGATGTGACCCTACTATCCCCATGGATGTATTGTAATAGAGGTTATCTTCTCTGATTGGTACAAATAGTCCTCTAGTAAAGAGAAACAGTGCTTTATTCTGATGGGTAGAGATGCCCCGATACCATTTTTCCAGACCATGTACTAGTACTGATACTTTTCCTTACTCACCAATACAATTATCAATACTTTTTTTATGTCATGTGACAGTTTTTCTAAAACAATACAGGCTAATGATTTTAGGACAGTGGTGAAGCACCAGGGCCCAGTCACAGCTGCAATAGCTGCAACCCTGCGTGGTCTCACCAGGGCTGTGTGCGGTCTTCCCAGGGCTCTACGGTGTCTCACCAGGGCTCTGTGTGGTTCCACCAGGGCTATGCAGTGTCTCACCAGGGCTGTGTGCAATCTCACTAGGGCTGTGCGGTGCCTCTCCAAGGCTGTGTGCGGTCTCACCAGGGCTGTGCAGTGACTCACCAAGTCTGTGTGCCATCTCACATTGGCTGTGCGGGCAGCAGGGCTCACCATGGCTGTGTAGGTGGCCTGGTCTTAGCAGGGCTGTGCAGGCGGCGGGTGCTCACCATGGCTGTGTGGGCGTGGGGGCTCACCAGGGCTGTTCAGGCAGTTGGGTCTCACAAGGGCCTTTGCAGGTGGGCAGTGGGGCTCAACAGGGCTGTGTAAGGGGCGGGTGCAAGGGGCGGGTGCTCACCATGGCTGTGTGGGTGGTGGGAGGAGGAGATGGAGATGTGTGGCCCAGTGCTATAAACAGGTGCCAGGAGATGCCCACAAGGCTGTTGCGAGGTGCGAGTACATGTGAAAATGCCCAGTGTCGGCACCGATACCGGTATCAGTATCGGTGCATCTCTACTGGTGGGTGAAGGTCAGTCTGTGGTGGCACGTAGGAGAATGAGTCCTACAATGTGAGGACTTTATGGAAGCATATGAGAGACTCCAAAGAGTTAAACAGCAAGGATGTGCTATAAATAACATTATTGTCACTGTAGTGGAAAGAGGGTTTCCAGCGAGAGGTGTTGGAAGTCGGAGTGAAGTGAGTGCTGGTAGAGGGAGAATGGAAGACTGGGTGAAAGGTGTTTTATGAAGAGGCTGCATTAGTGGGAAGAGGTAAAGATGTTTCCCTGGTTGTAGGCCCTGGGTAGAGGAAGAGAGAATTGGACTTTGGAGTGCAGTGACAGCCAGGGGTGAAGCCAGTTCACATCGACAGAGAGACAGAGTTTTATCTTCTAAAACAGTTTCCAGTTCAGCTTACTATATTTGCCTTGGCTCCCCAGCTTCCTTGGTGGACAAGGGATTCAACATTACCACTTCTGTTTAACCACTTGCCGTCCACCCGTTGTAAAAAAACGGACGGATGGCACTGCTGCTTTGGCGGGTTGCCCTTCGCCAGACGGCATTTTTTTTTTCTGCTCGCGTGCGCCCCCTAGCGGGCACGCACGGGCAGAAAAGACCCGACCAATGCAAACACCCATTACCGGGTGTTAAAGAAAATGACCTAAGAAGCCGTAAAGCTGACCCAGGAGATGGTATTGCTAAATCAGGAAGAACAATCCCACTGGCTGGCCATGATAAATTACTTGGCAAGTAAACAGAAAACCAGTGTGTATTTTAAATGTATATTTAGCTGTTTGCTTGAAGTTCAACTTTAACATGTGATAATTTTTACGTTTTACATGGTTAACTGCTATCATACATGCATATTGTATTCCATTTAGCATATTTAGACTAGTTTAGGGCATTGATCACATGGGTTTTAGCTTGTATTAAAACAGTGTGCACATATAAAGCATTTGCAGAGCTTTTGGCAAGCTTTGTTGAATACTTTAAAATATCATTCAGCTCTAGTTTGAAAATGTTAAGCACAAACAGTAGTGCTGGCTGTCACTTTATGCAATCTGCTAGGGGGCTTTAGCACTGTATGAAGTGTATTTCCTCTTTTGTAGCCAACTCGGCATAACACATACTTCATATCTGTTACATGTTCCCATTCAAATAGCATAAAATGTAAGAATTGCTGCTGATCGTTTAACTGCTTTTTTGCTGAAAATTTTTATATAATGTTCCTTTCTATGTAATGTTTAGATGGGGGCTGTAGGAAGTTATGTTTACAATAATTAACACTGTCCTTACTTTTTTTGGCAGATCCCCTGATCAATTGTAAACTAGATTTCTACACTGCATATCCTAACAAAGTGTTAAAATGCCAAGTCATGGGTTCTGCATTGTATGTTAATACACTGAAAAAAATCTGCCACAGTCTGTTGCTTATCTGCACATTGCCATCTATTTAGGGCCAAATAATCTTGCCTAGAATGTCTTATGTATAAACCTACTACAACAAAACAGCTAAAAATAAATAGTTAAAAAATATATTATTTAGGTACTTGTTGAAAGCCTCCTGAAGCTTGGTAGAAATGTATTTAAAGTGACAGACAGCACTCCCATTAAGATATGTGTTTAATATTTACAAACTGGAGCTTAATAGTACTTTAAAGGCTTAAGGCTGCTTGTATCTTACCAAAACATTTGCAAATGCTTTGCAAAAGCTTGCTAAAAGCTAGTTTTACACACTTGCCCTGAACAAGCTACAGCCCAAGAGATTTTGATTCGGAACTAAATGAATCGCACATGTCTATTTATTACTTCATTCAGCTGTTCTCTTTTTAATTACCAAGTATAAAAGTTAAAACAGGGAGCCGGACTGCACACGCAGGCATTTTTCAACCCATCGCTACGGTAATACGTTACACTTTTTGTGTCATAAACCGGGTAGAAGACAAAACAGAGCTGTAGTATTTGCATATAAAGAAATCTCCTGTTTTTACCACTTTCCGTATAAAGCAGATGAAACATGGGCAAAAATGCATAATGGAGTTTTCTCTATTTCTTTTCTGCTTTCCATAAAGCCCTGTGTCTGTGGTGGAAGGTTATGTGTTCCAAAATAGAAAGCTATCATTCCCCAAGCAAGTGCTTCTATACGCTATGTTTCGGTATTGTTACTCTTTTTTTGGAGGAGAGCAGAGACAAAAGGTTATGGTGGTTTCCAATTGTAAAGGCACATTATAAGCCAAGAACTGAGCTGCCTTCCTCCCCAAGAGCAATAACACACCTGCACAATAATTGTTTCCCTACATGGTATGATCAGAAACAAACAAAATACGTTTTTCATCAAGATGGGGTAGAACTTCCAGTTCCTACATTTGCTCTTTATGTCATGGCAAGGCAAAATCCTGTACCTATCACAATTTTGCAGTTCAAAAGTATTAGGAAATGTTAAACTCTAAAATGTTTTTGAAGAAAATATACAGAGGGGAATTTATCAAAACTGCAGCAGACAAAATCTGGAGCAGTTATCCATGGCAACCAATCAGTTTCTCTCTTCAGTTTGTTCAGTTAAGATTTGAAAATGAAAGAGAGAAGCTGATTGGTTGTATTTTACCCAACAGATTCATACATCTACCCCAGTGACAACATAGGTAAGAGGAACCAATAAATGAAAGTGCAGCTAATCAGTTCACTGATATTAGTAAGCCATGAGGCACACTGTGTTATTGCCAAGCCACTTTGAGTCTCTCACTACTTAAAAGCTGCATTATACCTGCTTGAGACACTTGTACATTTCAATATTTATTTTTTTACTATAAGTACGTTTCTAATTAGAAAATGATTCCAAAACGTAGAATAAATAAAAACACTAAAAACGATAGACTAGCAAACAAAACAAAGTTTCTTTGGTGAAACAAAAGCAGATATAAAAGTTTACAGAGATTTAAACTTTCTTTCACAAATACCCAAAGGTTCACATTATATACTATACAAGTAATAATATAAATACAGAAAAAAAGTATTATGTGCATTGTAATAGTAGAAAAAAAAAAAAAACATACAGGTCAACACTGTGGTGCATTGCTGTCAAGTACAAAGTATAATAACACAAGGTGCAGCAGTCATAGGAATGCATAAATCACACTAAGGCCCTATGTAATAATAATACTGCTATTAACAATGATGTGCAGCTCTTTATAGCAACCAATAAGATTCTAGCTGTCAATAGTTTTGTGCAACCAAATTCATGATAGCTGATTTCTGATTGGTTGCTGGAAGATGCTGCTCCTTTTATTATATTAAATTACATGGTATAACTTATTAGGAAAAAAAAATTTCAGAAGCAATACTGCCTATGTTTCACTTCACTAAGTGGCTATCTTCCATCAATACATCAGTTTATACATCTACAACTCAGTTGGATAATTACAAGAAATTATTTGGTGATCTGAACAGGAGCAACTAGAGATTTAATTCAGCGCCCTCTAGCAGTGAAACTGTCAATGTTCCAAAAATTTCACCACAAACCAAAGTGGCAGAAGATTTACTAGACAAAATGGGTTGATTAAAGTTTTAACTTTGAAGCATACACACAAATGTATTTTTATAGAAATGTTTATTTTATTTTTTTACATTTGTTTATTTACTCAATAGATTCCACAATTTGTTTTTCGTGACTGAAGTAATGTGAATATTACAGGCACAATACTTAACATAGGAAATACAATGCTTCTTTCTCCTCTTTTAAAGTGCACAAATCACCTAAACACAGAGAAGGCAGCCAATTTATGGGTTAATATTAATACGCAATTTTTGGCTATACCTAGTCATGACAATTGTTCATAGTGAATGGATAGGCTGAATTTACATGAGCATTGGCTCACTGTAAAATGGCTGTCCACATTGTGGCACACTTCTAAACAAAAGAGAAAATAAGTTAAATGTATAAACTTTTTGACATTCCATTTTAAGGTCACCGAACCACTACTGAAAGCGAACCATTCCTAAATGTCATGTGCCTTTTGGGATATTACCCAGAAGTCAAATGGATAGTACATATTTATTTCAAGTGAACAATTATCCTGAATTTACTTTCTTGTAAACTTACAGTATATAATATATATTCCCCACTTGCTTATAAGACAAGAGATGACATACTGATGCTGAAAAATTATGGTCGGCATGGAAGCAGCAAACAAAGAAAATTGGTCTGGCTTCCTAAATTTGTATCTGTACTTTTCACAGCTGCCGCATTTATTAATAAACATTCATAATTTCATTTAAAAAAACTAGAAAATGATTATATATACAAAATTATTTACTGTTTTGTCTATTTTTATTTTTTTACAAAAGTTGTAAAATGCACCTTCAAAATACACCGTGGAGTGTGTTGAAGACACAGAGCAATGTTCCCCCTGCTTATGAAAAAAGGAGAGCTTTCTGTGATGCAAAATCAAAACTGACTCCTTTCGTGTTCCTTACATCTATTTGTGCAGCAGTTATGACGTCATTGTAAAAACTTGCATCAAAAAAGTGATGCAGCTGTATATAGAAAATGATGCAGAAAAATGATGCATCCATGTCAGATCTGAGTTTGCATCTGCGGCTTTTAGCGAAAAAAAAAAACTCTCCATGAATTAGCAGTACAAATTCTACAAAAAAAAAGCTACAGACTTACACAATGAAAAAAAGCTCATCCAATAAGTCCATTTTTTTGAGTGGTCATGGATGAATATTAACATTTTTATTGCAGTCGACAAATAATTCTTGATCTCTGTCATGTGGAAATTTTGTTCCCTATTTTTTTTCCCACAATATGAAAATGTTACATGGCACAGATGTTTTTAGATTGTACCTCTAAAAACAATATCTTTATCTGGCACTTTTTTTTTTTTAACAACGTTTTTCTTTTTTTTCTCCAGCCTCAGCCAACTATTATTTGCATAATTAGTAATTTAGTCTTTAAGCCTTTATTAAAAATGCCTGACTTTTAGTTTGATTAATTAAATTTTATATACATGATTAGAAAACATATTTAAATCATCTTATTTACAAACAACATTCAAGCTAGGTTCAAGCTGTTTAAATATTAATGTAAGCTTGCATTAATACAATATCTGTTTGCCTTGGTGACACAAACTAAATGTTCTATTTGGCTGGAATTAATTTTATATGCTGCTTTAGTTCCCTATAATTAACACTTAAATTGAAAAGTCATTCTTGTTTTTCTTGGTGGTCTTTAAAACGCCATTGTCCAGTCCCAGATTAGATCAGATAGATTTTTGTTTTTGTTTCAGACTTGTGAAAGGCACTGTAATGCAGGACTTTGGCAGTTAGGATGTCCATTGATGATAATTTGGGATTACTCAGCGTGGTGACTCTTGCTGTGTCCTGCTCCAACGATGGTGATGTTTGGGTGTGTACAGTGGAGTCCTCATCTCTGGTGGACTAAATTTGTAGTAATATTTCTTGGAATAAGTCCTTTGGTATCCAGAAGCTAAAAATATAAAAGAGATTTTGAGTGACTTCTGTGTGCAAGTATATGTACCAAATATATCTGTGCTACAGCATATACACAACTAATTGTAAGAATATGTGAGTAATGATATGAAAAATAACATTAAATAGCATGTAAAACCTAAATTTACATTTCAATATGTTTGGCATTATACAGTACTTCACTGTATACAGTTAAAATACAGTTTTTGTGAATCTGTTGCAAAGTTTCCTACCTGGAGATCTGAATCCAGGTAATCTGGATCTGGAGGTCTGACAATGCTAAGCCACTGCCTTGCAATAATTAGCGCTTTACCAGCCTGTCATGTGTACTGCTTCACTTGGCCATTTTTCTACCTCTTAGATAGACAGCCCAACAGCAAACTGAAGAAGCTTGCACAACAGGGAGAAAATGCTGCTGCTTGAGAGGGAGTGGGGTAGCTTTGTCAGCCTGTAACAGGAAGTGCTCTGACTGGCAGGCATTACAGGTAAGAAACCTTGTAACAGATGTACAAAACTATTTGCAGAAAAATCACTTTTGGGTTTACATATACTTTAAAATAGTATACTTCATAAGGAACAGAATATTTATTATATAATAAGATCTGACAAAAAAAAAACGTAATCCAGAAATGACCGCACTCCAAGGGTCTTCACCGAGATAAAAATATTTATGGAGCAAATACATACTGTTGGTACCCCCATATGTGTATTCAACCTCTAACGCATTTCATCATTCTGGCTTACTCATAGAAATCTCCATGAGTAAGCTGGAATGATAAAACACGTTAGTGATTGAGTACACATTGGAGGAACTAACAGCATGTATTTGTTCCATATATAAAGATTTTTTATCTTCAGTGAAGACCCTTGGAGTGCAGATATTTCTACATTAGGTTGCCATGAGCAAAGGCGTGCTTGTGTGCCTGCACCTGGGATGCAATCGTAGTGCAAGCTAGTTATTTTCTGTAGAACCATCAAGAAATGCTACTAATGTATAAAAAACGGTGTAGAGTTGTTAGGATAGCATCAGAAAAATTGCATTCTGCATTAGAGACAGAAAATGTAATCTAATCAGCGCAGTTTATTTTAATATTACTGTGCTCTCCTCATGTCACTGTATAAATAGGGGAATACTTACGTTTCAGACATGAAACTTTAGGAAGGTCCCACCTTCCATCGCCTCTGCATCGTATAGTCGGCATATGCCTCTGAATGAAGCCGTCTTGGCAGTGGTATCGAATCATGGCATTCACTTCATATCGTGGTTTTGCCTTTCCAAATGTCTTCGCATTTTCAACCAAAGGAGGCTGTCCACAGGCAACTAAAAAAATTAAATCACATTATTTCCATTGCAGTTACACTCCTTGGCTCATTTTATTTCATTTTACGGGATATGCTCCTTATTGAAAGCAGCAACTGTTTATTAGGTAGATTAGGTAATTAAGAGGATGAATTACTTCACTGTCTCTCCAGCTACAGAGATCAGTGAGGGTCTGATTAAAAATCCAAGTACTGCTTGTTAAGAATATGTAAATATTTGAATGTCTATAACCTGGCCACAGTTCTACTTTAAAATACAGAGATAGTGGGTAAAATACCTGTTCCCTTCTTGCAGGTGTATGTGAGATGATAGTTGCAAGGCACATCATTCCATTGCCCATCCTCATGCCAAATTATTACAACACAGTCTTCACCAGCAGAAAAGAAGCTGTCTGGTTGGTTTGGCCTCCAATTTTCATATTGCTGAAATAATAAAAATAATATATATATAATTTACTAAATAAGTAATTAATAGCTAGTAGTAGTTAGTTACATTCAACTGGACTTGTTCTTTAACAATGTTTTGCAGCTTATCCAAACAGCTTGTTCACTTCTACTTGCAAATAATTCAACATCTGATTTCTTGCTGTGTTCCTATGCACTTTTTTATTGAATAGTCTTTACTTGTAACTGTTGTTAAAGTATTTATTATTATGACGATTATGATAATTATTATTGTTACTCATAGTATTATTATTATTATTGCTATTAGTATTATGTCCTCAGACATTGCTATTTACCTCAAGTGTCAATGACAATCAAGGTTATATAACTGTTTGAGCTGTGCAGAAGCTTCATCAGTATAAGTTAGTAAGGAAAATACTTTGTATTTACTTTCTAGCCCTGGTTTTACTTATATAGTTAAGAATTAGTGAGCGCCAGAGTGTTCATGTTTTTTTAGCATGCCCATGAGTGACATTTTATTACTTCAGATGTGATTACGTCATCAAACACCTTTATCTTGACTTAACGGCTTTGGTTTTTCTCAAGGTTAATGCCAAAAAGCTCTAAGAACAAGTTTGGTTCTATTCCGTGTTTTTTATCTTCTCTTAGCATCTTGGCAGGGTTCCCAATGTGATACTTAGCCATGATCTCAAAGATAATAACACAAGTACCGTATATAATTCAGCTCTTTTTTTCCAGTTTCTAGACTTAATGATTAAGTTAGTGTTAGTTTTGTGACTCATGCAAAAGTTGAGTAAGATTGTTTTTTTTTTAAATTATGATTTCTATAGTAAAAACAAATATGCTATAATGGATTAAAACAGAGGAACAAATTCTGAAGAAAAATATATAGCCACAAATTTGTATTTATACCCCCTGGCCAAAAACAAGGACGTTGACACACAGTAGCATTTTGTTTTTTGCATATTAAATCCAAAATATTAGTTGAAGTAAAAATGCGAGTGACTTACAAAGTTACTTAATAGCAATGTAGGTAGATCTCACAAATGTTTAAATGTTTTTGGTTTTTTTTACTGTTTTTTTTTATCATGATATAACATCATCTCTACTATCTAATCTCTGGACCCCTGTTGGGCCATAAAACAAAAGAGCAAATCAATCTTTTAGGATTCAAGAATACAACTCACTATTATGGGGGAAATTCATAATGGAGCAATCTGCTCTTCGTTGTATATTGCAAGGTTATTCCACATTACAGCATGCATTCTATGGTCCATTCATAAAATGCAAAAATGGCATGGAGTGAAGTCTTTGGTTGGAAGAGAGGCCGGCCACATATCTTTATGCTTTCTTCCTGGCCTTTTTTTTTACACTAACTTATTTTATTAGCATTACGCTGGCTTTGGAGTCCTGAAGTCAGCAGAGCGTTAAGCAGATTTGTAAAATACATTGCGCTGCTATATAAATGAGCTGTATTTTTTAATGCAGCTGTATGACCACTGCTTTATAACTGTCCCCTTTATGAGGAAATCAAAGCAGTGAAAAATGATGCAAAATAATAACGTAGTTGGTAACCCTATGTCACTGATCAACTGATATCCTCCTCATACCTATAGGTTGCGTTAGCTGAGGATCACTGCACATACAGTAAATAAACTTCTAAGTTGTAAATAGGGAGGTTGCTCTAATAGAAACCTTTTTATTTACATTTTCCAGTGGATATACAAGTGTTAAGGAGTGTGTTCTGTTTCAAAATAAAAAACCAGAACAGTGACCTAGTGGTTAGCACTTCTGCCTTACAGCACTGAGGGTCCCTGGTTTGAATCCTGGTCAGAGACTGACAGGGACTGATATGAATGTGCAGTATGTAAAGCTCTGCATAAAAATTGTTGTTAATAAATAATAATAATATTATGAGTAGTAAATAAACCTGTAGTAAATAATAATATTATTATAGTTAATATAATAATTCATATATTCTGCTCATAAAGGTGGTTGCATCTTGGGGGTGTCGTTAAAGTCACTATATCTGCCTAGCCTTGAATCTTGGAAAATGTACACCAAACATCTCATAAAAATTATTTGTAACTATGACAATGCTAAAAGAAATTCTATTGTTTTCAGAAATGATTGCAAATGCCAGTTTTATGGAATCAGCAATAAATATTCTTCAAAAGTGCATCGTTTATCATAATAATTTCTCAGGCTCAAAACAGCAGTTCACAGAAATCTCCTTGAGACAGCATTTTTTTGGTTTGAGGCCTAATGTTATCTGATTTCCTTAAATGTCAATGCAGTCACTCTGCTCAATATAGAAAAAAAGTATATTTCATCAAATAGCAGAAAATGTAATATTGAGCTGTTCAGCTCTATTCTTTTCTATCCAGTGTGTTCAAGATTAAATGGCAGTCTTTGCATTTATTGTTAGAGATTAGATGTCAGGCAGCTAAAGGCATTGATCGGAATTCTGGGTGAGCTCCAGGATCTGTTACATTTGATCATGTTTGCCCTTGAAATTACTTTACAATATTGTTTGTTACTAGGTGTAAAGTTGAAGGAAAAGATCAAAACAAACTAAATGTGGCAAGAATTCTCAAGCCTGAATAGGCAGTGGAACTTCCAGTAATACAAGTAGTTTTAATTATGGTTCCAGCCAAAACAAAACTAAGTACTGGAAACGAAGTCAAGTAGAAATTGAAGCAACGCACTTTAATTCAGTTACAAATTAATCTCAAACGTATGAAACCATGACTGAATTCAGCTACTACAGGAACCAGGAATCTCTCTGCATATTGAGCTTTTACATGCCAGCTAAAAATTAAATAAGACTTGCGCTGCTCCATGATATAATGGTCCAGATACAGGTTTATCCCAATGTATAATCACATGGAAAACTGTACACAATTCCAATGTATTTTGCAAAGGAGAATCCGATATCCTACAATCCCAAAACTGTGGGATGCTGAAGATCCTTTAGACAGTTTAGCTCTGCAATAGAGCAAAGATTGGCAGTGCTGGTGGTGGGGCAGGTATTAACCCTTTTCTTTACAGGCTGGGCTTTTATTAAGCCTCTAGCAAAAGTTTGAATTATTTCAAGTATTGTTAATGGCAAAAATTTCAAAAGATACAAAAATGTCATGACTGTGTTAAAGCTAAAGTCCAGGCAAAACAAATATTGTCTCAGTACAAGAGACTTATTATTTTTTGGATGTCCTTTCATGTTATACAGACCAGTCACTGCTGCTCCTTGTGTAGGATGACTGGTCTTGTATCCGCCCCCTCCTGTACTGGGCACACCTGTTGGGCCCCTCCCAAAGCTCTACTCTCTGCAGGCTATGTGCAGCCCAGTGATGATATCATTGCTACTATTGCAGTCATTATGTTAAGGTTCCAAAAGTTAATGCACACCAGAAATCAGGTTGTTATTGCTAAAGTGTTATATGTCGGTTCTAGGGCAGTGAAGCTAAACCTATGTACTGGTACTAGCATGCAGTACATACAGAGACAGGTAATGTTTCTATCACAGCCATATCACGTGGGTGTTGTGTGTGACTAGGCTGGGATATAAGTAGATTACCTTTAATAACTGCCATATTAGCAGCTCATAGCGCTACACACTGTAAGCTTTTTTTTCCAAGATACACTATACGTTAAAATGAAAAATAATTTATTTTAAAGGTTACTACTAGGTCACCCTGTTGATGGACAAACAATCTACTCTGCAATCACTATTAAGGCACGTACGGAGTAACTGCCACTTGTAGCACAGGTAAAAGCCAATTCATCTAATTGCATTATCTACAGTAATAAAGTAGTCTCAAAATCTGTCAACCTTCATTAAAAAAAATTATGCAGAAGCTTTTAAAGCCTTGATAAAAGCATGTTATTTTCTTATATGGCTGTAATAATGTGTGTGCCGATAATATCTATTCAAAGAGGAAATTAACATTTTGTTGGATATCATAATGGCATTAAAGTACATTAGATCCTTGAAACATAGATGTTCACGTTACTTTTCTTTATGTGAACAATGCACAAATCACTATTTCTAGAGCGAGTCTGGGAGGAACACTGCCACCTTGTGGTCACATAGTAAAGTTAAAAAAGTGAAAACAAATAGCTAGGGCAGACCTGTGTGAGAAAAGCAGCATATATACTATTTTATAGAAATTCTGACCTTTTTTTTATTACTACATATTGTCAAATTACATCTTAGTTTTATATAATTAAAGGAGAAGTATTGGGAGAGTAAAATGTACTCTTCCAAATGCTTAGAGACGGTGTGGTACACTGCAGGTGTCACATGCTGGCTCTACAGATCAAGAACTGAGTGATCACTCAGCTCACAGCTTCTCCCTGCAGAGAGCAGTGATTGTCAGCCACCACTCCCCACAGGGATTCCCCCTCATTGGAGGGACAGACAGGGGAGGGGGAAGGCACAGCTGGCTCTGGCTCTGGCGAGGGGTGGATCATGACAATATTATCGGGATCTTTCCTGGCTGCCGCACAGTTATGTGCTCTCAGCAAATAGAGGGCTAATGCCCGCTATGTGCTAACTTTGGGTCACAGAAGTACATTAGTAAATGTACTCCTTTGACCCAAAACAGAACAAAAGGTAAAAAAAGTTTGACTTAATCCTCTCATAATATGTAACAGGTAGAGAGAAGACAATGAACATTGGTAGCAACCACCTGAGAATTTGTTGTGTAAAGGGGTTCTCGGCTGTGTGATTTCCCATTGGGAAGTCTTCTCCTTATTTCCCATCCCAATGACAACTTGCCAGAATGTGTCAAATGGATAGAAAATGTGATCTACAAATAGGCAGCAGAGACTTCAATAAAAGCACTCACTCTATCCAAAAATCAAAAGTCTTGGATCAAACAGTCTTTAACGGGGCAGGAAAAATGTAACCCCATGTCAGGTTTTTATTCCTGTTTCTCTCTATTCTAGAGAGAACTGTCACTAAGAAAGAAAGTGATGGGGAAATCAAAAAGTTTACAGTTGCCACCAGAAAAAGG